CCTTCATTCACCCACCTGACCATCAAGCGACGCTGTACATACTCTTCTCGCTTCTAGCCACATCCACTAACAAACTCTCTGTTTCACGGTGTCTTTATCTCTCATCTGTCCTATCTCTGGGACACTCTCTTCCCTTCTATCCATTCATTCATCCATCGACCTGCCTACAAGTGACTAAACATACCATCCATCAACCGGAAACTCTCCATCCATATCTACTGATCATGCTGTTTCATCTAGCCAAAATCTACTTCATCATGTCACTGTGTCTCTATCTCTCCACCTCTTCAGCTTTTCTCTCTGTTTCGTTGTCTCTCTGACATTCCCTTCCCTTCTATCCATCCCTCCATTCACCCACCTCATCATCTAGCGACGCTACACTTATATACACTAAAGAACTTCTCTATCTCTACTTCACGCTATCTCTATCTCTTCTCTGTCTGTCTTGCTATCTATCTGCTACTCTCTTCCCTTTTGTCCACTCATCCATCCATCGACCTAGTTGCCTACAAGTGACTCAAAGTGCTAATGATGTTATCCATGAAGCCTACGCATCCTTGACATCACCCAGACCCCAAAGTCAGCTGCATCAGCGACATCCACCAACACCTCAAAATCGACACTTGTTCACTCTCCACCACGCCTTTTACCCCATGCTATTTGGCCGCCGCGACTGCAAAAGGTGCCTATGCCCTTGCTCTCCTCACCTTGTTCCTAAACAACTCTCCCCTAGCCTATCGGCTGGCTTTCGTGATTTACTTTGAACCAATGTTCGGCGACCTCCTCTCAGGGCCAGAATCTTTCCAACATCTGAGACTTGCTGCTCAAACCATTCTCCAAAACAGCTCTATTCGAAAACAATAGCTAGTAGCCTTCTTGTTACTAGTAGTAAGGCCAGGAGCTAGTAGCGATGCCCTTTGTTACTAGTAGCTTCTTGCTACTAGGCCCCGGGCAAAGATTATGTTGAAAGTCGAACCACGATGTTTGGTGCTGGTGCAGTTATTTTTCTAGCCAAAACACACAAAGCAACTGACAAGTTGAGCACTTCAGCTGGCCTGGCCGTTCTTCTTGTAAACTGGCTTGCCGTGGTTGTCATGTTGGAGGTTAAATTCACCCCGGACCTGCAATACCATAATGAAGAGAAAAGACTAACCAACCCTATCAAGGCAGTCCGCTGGAGAATCCATGAGAATCTTTAATCTTGGATTCACACAATGTCTCCCACTGTCTCATGCTTGCAGCCGGTGACAATGATTCGTTCCGACCTTTCGGTGAGAGGGGAAGGCGTTGCAACTCAAAATGTTATTGTATTCAAACCAAGCACCTGCCAGAAGACGTAGAAGGACTGTAGCCAGCCTGGCAAAGAAAAAGGTCTCGTGAAGCCATTGAGATCTGGCAAAGCTAGCAGGATTGGCAGGCACGCCACCGTAGCCATATCCAGAGTAGCCCTCAGAAAGAGGTAAGAGTGGTTTGGTGTTTGGTCAATGTTCCAACATGAAAAACAGCTGAGCGATTGGCCGGAGGCTGCACCTGTCAACTTTCTTGAGAATGAAACAAGTGGTCTTAATCTTTGTGTATATATGTTCCAAGACCTATTGAACTTAAAGTTGTTAGTGCTTATGTCAGCGCCCGCTTATAGTATAAATATATATATACAGTATATATATACACAAGTGTGGTGATTCGGGAGGAAATTGATGAAGGAACTGATGGAAACCATAGTTTGCATTCAATTAAAACTGAAGAGGACGCACATTATAGTTCAATTTTGAAGGATAAGGCACACTTGAAAAATGGATACAGGTATATGTCAAGAGTGGTGTGTGATGAGTGGTGTAAGATGAGTGGTGTGTGATGAGTGGTGTGAGACGAATGGTATGTGATGAGTGGTGTGAGATGAGTGGTCTGTGATGAGTATGAGTGGTGTGTGATGAGTGCTGTAAGATGAGTGGTGTAAGATGAGTGGTGTGTGATGAGCCGTGTTTGATGAGTGGTGTGTGATGAGTGGTGTGTGATGAGTGGTGTATGGTGAGTAATGTAAGATGAGTGGTGTGTGATGAGTGGTGTGTGGTGAGTGATGTGAGATGAGTGGTGTGTGCTGAGTGGTGTGTGATGAGTGGTGTGTGATGAGTGGTGTGCAATGAGTGGTGTGTGATGAGTGGTGTGTGTGTGCCGAGTGCTGTAAGATGAGCGGCGTAAGATGAGTGGTGTGTGATGAGTGGCGAGTGATGAGTGGTGTAAAACTTGAGAGAGGAGGGGGGTGAACGAAAGGTAGCAGGGAATCAGGCGTTGGAAAAGCGCACAAAACCCTGTAAATACCATAGTTTTGTGCAATTTTGAAGCCTCCAAAAGCCTCAAAAACCCTTTCCGACAAAATCGTTCCTGGTTTTTGGTCTTTTTTCGGTCATTTTTCTAACCGAGACGCATCAAAAACCATCGGTTTTTGCGGTGTTTTTTGCCGGACAGCCACAAAAAACGCTGTAAATTCCATGATTTTTGGTCACTGTTGAGGACTGGAAGAGCTGAAAACACTGGTATTTTTTACAGTGTTTTCGAACCGTTGACCCCGAGGCGCGCCAGGGTGGAGTTGAAAGGGGGGGGCCCCCCCCCCCGGCCAGCAAACGAAGATGTCGGGAACCATTTCTCAATGAGATAGGCTCCAGCTCTGGGTATAATACATTTTTGCTAAAGCAAAAGGAAAACTCAGGTAGCGTAACCGCTACCTTTCGTGATGAGTGGTGTGTGATGAGTGGTGTGTGATGAGCGGTGTAAGATGAGTGGTGTGTGATGAGTGGTGTGTGATGAGTGTGTGAGATGAGTGGTGGCCACGAAATGTGAGTTGAGTGGTGTGAGATGAGTAGTGTAAGATGGGTTGTGTGAGATAGGTGGGTGGTGTGAGATAGGTGGGTGGTGTGAGATAGGTGGTGCAAGATAGGTGGTGTGAGTTGAGTGCTGTAAGATGAGTGGTGTGAGATGAGTAGTGTAACATGGGTGGTGTGAGATAGGTGGTGTAAGATAGGTGGTGTGAGTTCAGTGGTGTAAGATGAGTGGTGTAAGATGGGTGGTGTGAGGTAGGTGGTGTAAGATCGGTGGTGTGAGTTGAGTGGTGTGAGATGAGTAGTGTAAGATGGGTGGTGTAAGATGAGTGGTGTAAGATAGGTGGTGTGAGTTGAGTGGTGTAAGATCAGTGGTGTAAGATGAGTGGTGTGAGATAGGTGGTGTAAGATGAGTGGTGTAAGGTGAGTGGTGTAGGTGGTGTGAGAGAGGTGGTGTGAGTAGATGGGTGGTGTGAGATAGGTGGTGTAAGAGAGGCAGCGGCGGAGGCGGCGGAGGCGGCGGAGCACGGCGGAGCGGCGGGCGCAAAGCGAAAAACAAGAACCGCACATAGTGATGTGGGGAAAAAGTTCCAAAAAGGTCAGACTCAGATATACAAAATAGTCAGCCCCGACGTGCAACAATGCTGTATTGGAGCACTACTGAAGATTGACTTATGGAGTTGAAATTGAGTTGCTGCAAGTGGTTAGCCACATCAGAAGACTGTTTTTAAACATGTGTTTGCGTTTATAGACCCCAGATAGCAAAAAGACTTTGTGGGCAGCGCACTGCCGCGGCACTCTGCACTGCCCTCCAGCGGCACTCTGCACCGCCCTCCAGCAGCACCACCACCCAAGCTCCAAGCCCCCAAGCCGATATCAGCCGCGGCACGGCGCCAACACCCAAGATCCCAAGCGCAGCAGCCGCACCCCAAGCGCACACAGCAGCGGCACCCTGCAGCGGCACCACCACCCAAGCTCCCAGGCGCACACAGCATCGGCACCTTACAACAGCACCCAAGCTCCCAGCGCACCCTGCAGCAGCCAGAAAAGCACCCAAGTGCACACACTGCAGCCACCAGCACCCAGGCTCAAAAACGCACACATGGAAGTGAGAACCCCAATAGCTCAAACTAGTCCAAACCTTTGTAGGATGAACAGTGTCCAAATCATTGTTATATTTGGTTCGTTAGGTTTTTTGTTCTAGGATTCTAACATTGGGCAGAGTGTGCTAATCATTGTGTTGTTTTGGTTTGTTTGGGTTTAGTGTCCAGATCATGCACGCAGATGGTTCTCATATCATTGTTTATCTAAATTGTGCCTCCAGAGGGCCCCTAAACATGTATGTATATATATATATATGTATATGATTCTATGATACTAATGTTCCGCTTCAACAGGCCCCTCTTCTTGCAGGTCGTGCCTGCGCTGGGGCCTTAGAGACATCAAAGGATTGGACATATCATACCCAAATGTCGGCTTTTGCTGAGATATGTGCTCCGTAGGCGGGCCTGCCATGAAGCATATCTGACCAAAACTTCGCCAAACTGATCAAAAGGCTTTGAGATGACGGTATGCACCACTGAGCAACTATGCCAGAGCGTCGCATATGCACTGGGGTAACCAGCTGGTGGATAACCTTATTTGAGCATTTGAGCACAACCCGGCATGTCCTTACCTGCCTTCTGAAATGTGCCTCATCAAAAGCCCGAATTACTTTGTGCTAGGCCTGCTTGGCCTGGTCCGAAACAGAAGCAGCAACAGCTCTCAGTTTTGCCACCGGCTGGATAGGCAGCAGGATATCCATACCTTACGAAATCTGATGAGAAAAATGCTCGGACCTAGCGAAACTACTAGGAGCAAGGATGCTACTAGGGGCTCCTGGCATCGCTACTAGGAGCACGGACGCTACTAGGGGCTCCTGGCCTTACTACTAGTAACAAATAGCTACTAGGAGCAATTCCAAGCCGTCCACATATCGAGCCTTTCGCTCCGAGTCTCCCCGCTCGCTGCGGGCCAAATGGCTTCAACAGTCAACGCCCTTTGCAATGGCTCTAATAAGACACCTCTACTCTGTTTGACGACTGACAACGGACTATGAACAGGTGCTATACTCTTCTTTGGAATTGGACTGCAAATGTCACTTACCATTCAATAGCTTATATATCCCTTAGCTTGGTGCGGCACTTTCCAAATCCCAGGAGGACTCTGATTCGAGGGAGTACCCCGCTGGATGCCGAGGTTCTCCTTGAAGTCGATGCAGTGCTAGATCCCATTCGGTTTTGCATGGAGGCCATCGCTTGTAGGTTGGAGGCCATTGCTATTAGCTTGCATTCATCATTGTGCGTCCTGGCAACAAATTAAGTGCCCTTGAGGCTTTAAGACCCAGGCAGTCTCAATGGGTGCCCCCAATCCCAGTTCACCTGCCCTTGAAGAGAGGGGTCCTTGGCATGCCACTTGCCACTGGACGATGCTGCATTAGGTTGTGCTCTGAGAAGCACACGGTCGGTTGGAACCGTACCTAGTTGAATGAAGATTCTGCAAGAACATCAGAAAATCTCAGGTCTATGGAAAAAAAGAAACAGATCAGAACAAGAGAGCTTTTTAGAATAATGGAATGCCTAGTAGCAAAAGCAAAGTCTCAACGTCAGTTCATTTGAGCTCAAGACTGGCTTCGCCAGACTCCTTCTCCCTGCGCTTGTCATATCTCAAAGTAATATCCAACACATTGGCCAACTTGTATTTCAATGTATTTCAGGTTCTCTTTCTGTGGGTTTTGAACTTGTTGACCTTTGTGACCTCTCATATATATATATAGCACCTACTACTGACCTGGACTGACCTGGTCTCACCAGCTGTCAGCGCCTGCTGGGGCTGAGCTCTGCTTCACCAGCCTTTCCTGCGCTCTAAGTCGGCTCAAAGAAGCCAAAAAAGTTGAGCTTACAACGCCTCTTAAAGGGGTATAGACGGTATAGACTCTTAGAGGTGTACTTAGAGTCCTATTGGAGGCCTTGGGAGTTTGCGGACTCTGCGGAGTTGGCTTTGGCCGTCAAGCGCGCCAGGGATTGTGCCGAGCCGAAAAAAGATAAAAAGCAGTACTGTAAAAAAAAGAAATAGATCACTGGAGCACAATGACTTAGCCCAACATAGAGCATGAGCAATCTCACAAAGTTTCTTAGATAGGACGTGAATTCACAGTATGCCTGCTGGGCATAAACTGAGTTTGTCGAGACATATCCACACGTCTTGTCTAGCTGTCCTGGGCCACTCAAAGGTGGCAACTGCCCACCAACAGCACGATGCGGTGAAGCAACCACCTGACGATTGAAAAGGAATGACAAAGCTTCATAATAGGCGATGGCGACAAATGGCGATAGGCTAAGCGACAACATCTGTGGATCTCTTCAGACCGTTCCATGGCACGCGGTCGGCTTTTTGCGAGATGAAACTGAGATACGCAGGCTACCAGGCTACAAAGCGCTGAATACGACTGGAACTCAGACAAATCGAACGAACTCACCATCCATCAAAAAGGCCCTGGGCTGCTTCCCCAAGCACTTCTGTTTCTCTGTCCTGTCTTGACTGTCGCATATCGTTTTCAACAGTCCTCATCGGTGAGATTTCGACTTCGAAGAACTGCAGGGACCTCTGTACACCAACTTCGGCAAATCGCTCAACGGATCATGCGCTCTGCAAAGAGTAGTGGGGAATGAAACGGTTTTGGTCTGTTTGGTGCCTTCTCACGCTCTGGCTCTTCTTTGGTCGGCATCAGCACCTAAAACATCGACGTGTTCACACGATTTGGTGGCTGAAAATGCAACTGGCACCTGCTGCTTTCCAGCACCTGTCACTCAAAAGGTCTTGATCTTGTGACACAACATGAAGTATGTCGCAACGTTTGGAGCACGTGCTTGTTAACCTTGCCAGACTGACCCAGCATGCCACGCACTTTGCCACCCTCCATGTGCTTCCTCAAGTGAGTGGCCAATGCTTGCATCTTTTTTTGTGACCACATAAATCTGATTGTTTAAACTAACCAAGTGTTTGTGCAGAGCCAAGTTGCACTGTTTGTGCAGAGCCTTCAAGCAAGTGTCCGTAGTCCTTGAAACACAAATGGGATGCTAGATTCCCACGAGTGCTGACAATAGCTTTGTTTGACGTTCTGGCATGGTCTTTCAAGCCAAAGGTCCTTGAGATTTACCGGTGCTCGTGGTGGTGCTTCCAACTGGATCCGCCCCCATCGGCCCCGATTGAAGTCATTGATCAGCTTGCCCATGAAAGGAGCAGGGTTCATCAACTGAAAACGAGCTACAGCTGCGAAGACTCTTTTCAAGTTCAGAATCCATGAAGGTCAGGCTTCTGAGTGCCATGCTGGAACAAAGTTTGGAAGGATTGGCCCCTCATGCCTGGCAACCCGTTAAATCTGCAAGGTCGTGTATGGTGCGCCTGATCTGCCTGAGAGCCTTTTCGAAATCAACACCATAAATCCGCTGGGTTTCTCTCCAAACCTGAAGCATTCAAAATTCAGAGTTGCGCCGCAGAACCGCTGGCTCTTAAAGACACATGTGCCACTTGTTTTGCTTGCTGCCAAGTTGCAGTCGACTCCACCATGTGAGGATTCTCTTTCCACAACTGTCAGGTGCACATCTTGCAGTGCGAGTGCAGCAAGGCTGTCTTGCATGTTGTGTTTCAGTTTTTTTTCCAACCTGATAGCAGTGACCTCCAACCTAGAAGCGATGGCCTCCAACCCACTAGCGATGGCCTCCATCCCAATAGCTTTCTCATTCTCAGTTCTAGCCCTCGTCTTCCATGCTAATTAAAACCAACAATGTGACTCGACAAAGAATCTTCCACCTTCCCCAAGCGAAAGACCAGATCATAGCCCGTCTGCTGCCGGTCCACGTGCTGGCAAACAAAAGAAGTTACAAATTCGCACAGCCCGACAGCTCCACGGCCTTTTCCCCAAAGATTCGGCACATACAAAGCAGTTCCTGCTGTTCCTGCAACAATATGATTTCTGCACCGAAACCAGCAAAGGATGCAAGCGGATGCAAAGCGGCCTTGCTGAATCTCCGGCCAAAGCCGACAGGAATAAAGCCAGGAGAATCCAGGAATTCGAGCTCGGTGTTCCTCCAAATTGATTCCTTCTAGACTTGCAGCAACTCTCTTTCTTGGCTTGAACGACATGAAACATGTCATATCCCTTATCCCGACCAACAAAAATGACACGAGTCCTGAAGCCACCAATTTTGTGCCACACTAGCTTCCTAGTGAGACCAGGACGCGAATCCTAGCAAGTGAGGAGACGCTGTCAATGTCATTCAAAAATCAAAGTACTTGTAGCTTTCTGTTGTCATATTTGTTCGGGTTTTTGAGCACCTTTGCAGCCACTTTGCGTCCAGTCAATCGGTTGATAATGGACGATTTGCCCACCTTGACGAAACTGCCAGAGGTTGCAGTTGTTCGGTTGTCACTTTGCAGTTCAAGACGAAAAGAATGCAAACCCGTGTGCAAGGAGTGCATGCCAAGGAGGTCGCATTCGGGAAGCCAATCCTCAGCTTGGAAGTAATAAGTTTCAAAACTAAGCTTCAAAGAAAAGGAGCAAGAACACAGACAGCAGAGAACCAAGGGTCATCATCGTTCGAATGGCTCGGGGGTTGATTCCCTGCCGCTTTCGCCTCTCACAAAGCCATCAGAGCAGCAACAAATCGGTGGCTTTGACTGAAGCAGGTACATGCAATGCTGCAGGAAGCCACTCACCCACCCACAACACCCATCTAATTCTACTAGCGATGGCCTCCAACCTAACAGCGATGTTTCAACCTACTAGCGATGGCCTCCAACCTAATAGCAATAATGGCCTCCAACCTAATAGCACCCACAACACCGGCACTACAATAACATGCACGCAGAAACCATAGATCATAGAACAATGCCTTCGGTTCACATATGCTCCAGCTTTCAGCAACTCTGTGCGAAGCTCCTGCAAGAGCCAAGTGAGTCAGGTTATTCCAGTGATACTTTGAATACATCCGCCTACTGTCAAAAGAGGTGTCTAGTCTAATCTCATTTTTGTCCACTGGTTTCCAGTGCTTTCACGATGGCTTCCGCACCTCGATTCCGAAGCTACCAAGCAAAGCGTCCACTGGAACAACAGGAACTCCCCGATCACGCTCGCTTTCTTGGATGTAGCGAACGGTTTCCTCGCGCTGGTTCGTCTTCGTTTTCTGAGGTTGTCTCTCGCTCAACTGGGAATATAGTACAGTACTTTTCAGTCCAGCAAAAAACATGCTAAATAAAACAGACAGTCTATCAGGGATGTGATGTTCTTTCTTGGCTCACAGTTTAAAACTTATGTGCTAATCTGGAACGATGAAAATGTCAAAGCTAGGAATTCTCGAATTCAGAGATGACAGTCTGACCAGTCTGCTTTTGCCTCAGAGGCCCACCTCGAGGGCTGCAGGTGGCACTAGATCTGCTTTGGTCAGAACAATGACTCGAGGACGCGGACGTGCCCATTCTGCGCAAAGCTAAACAGACAGCTATGCTAAAGCAATAAATTATATAGATAGCACACCATCGTGCCCAAGCATGGAGCTTAGAGCCTAGGTCGGTTTTGCTCTGGCCTGGGACATCAGGGTGTGTAGTTGTCCATGGTATACGAGCATCTCGGACCTCGTTCACCCGAGAAACTCTTTGAGTTGCGAGGCTTGCGACTGTTAGGTCGGGGGCCATCGCTCTTAGGTTGCAGGCCATCGCTCTTAGATTGGAGGCCATCGCTCTTAGGCTAGAGGCCATCGCTAGTAGGTTGGAGGCCATGGCTATTAGGTTCCCATTTCATCGCGTTCCCTTTGAATTGTTCTTGTTTTGCTATTGGGTTAGAAAACTCGGTGTGTGTCTGTGTGTGGCACCTCGATGACCACGTCCACGCGCTTCATGTGCTTCAACTGCAAATTTCTGATGGCCTTATAACGTCGGCTCTGCGTGAGGCAAAGATGCTCCTTCATGAGACACAACGAATGTGACTTCAAATATTTGCTTTGTCAAAGGAAGAAAGGAAGGAAATCGGGCAGCCAAGGTGGGATCGTTTTCCTGAAAACTCACATGTAGTTTCTTGGCTTGACTTGGTCTGTGGCCACTGTCTGATAACCAGGTCGCCAATCTAGAGGAATGTCCTTGCTTGCTGCACCTCATCTTCAAGGTGCTCAGATGTGACAGCAAGAGTCCGTGCCTCCTAGCGTCTGAGTGCCCTGACTGAGTCTCAGTGTCCGCTGATCGCTGACTGCCTGATTCTGCTCATGTGCGCATCTGGGAAGTCACTAGTAGTCAGTAGTGAGAACACACTTCTTGGAGTTGTCTTAAACTTCCAAGACCTCGAAGTTTGTTGGTCCAGCGGTCCAGCCTCCAAAATCTCCTCTGCGCTCATCGATGAAAGCTTCTTCCAAGTGTTCTTTTCCACCTCTGAAGACTCTGCACTTGGATTTTGGAATTGAACACCGCTCGAAATGGCAAGTTGACTCTTCACAGGTTTGTTTGGGCCTTGAAGCCATTGATTCCACCCAAGAGCTGAGTACCTGTGGCTGTGAAGAGTGAACCTCTGAAAGATATGTCTTCAGCCAATGAAGATGGCCTGCCATTTCCAAGCGGTCTTTGGGGTTTGGAAGGTATCTCAAGTTGATGTTGTCCTCGGAATGAGCACGCAAACCATGGGAGAGGTTGGGACAATCAGTCTCATTTGGTAATTGCTAGTCCTGCTAAGACTGAAGCACTTCGGTCACCGGTGGTATGGCGTAACAAGATAACAAGACCTAAGGCCTTAAAAGGAGAACTCATGCTTGTAAGTAGGACTGTCCTGCTCCAGTCTTTTACGGTATTGCTGCTCGTAGTACTTCTTCATCTTCCTAGAAAAGCGGCATGCTTCAAAAACACCTGCAGCCTGTCGTGTGTTGCGGCCTCTTCACGAACTTGCTGCTCTGCCAAAAGGGCTTGTCCTCAATGTACTGCAGGGGTTGGTACCTGGCAAAAGGCAAACGAAACAATTGGAGCCTGGTCTCGGCGCAATGACTTCCCGCGGCTCACTGCGGCGTAGGTGAGTAAATGCCAAGCTTTGTCTTCATCTTCCACCTTGATCGGGTTGGTTTGGAAGCTGAAGCTTGACAAACCTGGCATCGCTACTAGTAGCAAGAGCATTACTACTAGGAGCAAGAAGCTATTGTCAACAGCACAAGTGAGGCTCCTACTGCTGCTTCTCCTTTAGAATTCTTAGGGCATCATCCGCAGAGCGGTTGTGCACCAGTTTCAGGAGTACCTGAGATTGGCCAAGAAAGGAGGGAAACACACAAATGGTAAAGAGGAATAGGGTACACAGTCGGGTGAACCAAATTCTTAGTAACATGGTGGCCATGCGGTGAACAAGCTTGCCGAATTTTCTGCTCAGTGACGCTGAAGTCTGGGACTTTGAACTCATCCACATCCGCAGGTAGGGGCATTCGATATGCTTCTGGCCGCAGGCGGCATGCACACATGCGCACATAAAACACCAAAGCGTGAAAGTTGAATCAAACTAGCCAGAATTGCTGGTGAGACCGCCATACTGATCCTTGGAAGTCGCTTTGCGTAGGAAAATCAAAGGCAAAAAGAGTTTTTCAAATAGTTTGCATTTGCATTCACCTCGCTCAAGATCTCCAAAATGCTGCCGCGAGTCTCTGTCAGTTCTTATGACCCCACCCCATCCTTCTCCAGGTCTTGGGTCTTTAGCAACTGTCACAAACACTCAACTTGCTCAAGAGCAAGACACAAAAATCAAAAGGAACTCAGGGCTGCTTGTCTGAAGCAGAACTAGGCTGTTTGTGGAGAGGGTTTGCCAAAGCCAGGCCTTCTTTGCCACCAGCTTGACCCCGTCTTGCAGTGGATGTGCTTTGCCGCCGTCGACTCGTGCTACTAGCAGCACCAGCAGCTAAACACCTTGAGTACAGTCCAGTGATGTGCAGCGTTTCATCAAAATGGCAGGGAATTGCATCGATTCCGTTTGTAGATTAAGCGTCTGACCAGCATCCAGTTGCTGTCCAGGCCTTATTTGTAGAGGACAATGAGCTTTTTGACTGACTGCCTCCAAGCAATTCGAATAGCATGTTACCTGAAATCGCTCTAGTCACTATATAAGTGCAAAAGCATGCAAAAAACAACAATCCTAGCCTCTACTGTCAAGAGTTGGTACTTCGCTTGTCACAGGTGGCCTAGAGCAGACTGTCAGGCATTCAGAAAAACGGCATTGTAAAAATGTCACATGAACATCCTGCTTGATTTCTGCGAGCATGTCGCCTCCAAGTTCGCTGAACCAGCGGCGTGCTGCGGTGGAGTGGCAGAAACGCCATTGCCATTGCTGTAGCACCAACGGACGAACACTGCACGTTGCTACACCAGGAAACCTCGTAGAATCTTCTCGATACGTGCATGTTTTTCCATGTCCTGACATCCTTCTGTGTGAACAGTTGCAAGGCTGTTGTGGCTAAGACTTAAGAGGGTCGACTATGGCAAATGTACACATATTCAACTGAATTAAACATGTAGCAGAGCTGAGAGCGGCCAAACATGTCCAAATCATTCAATCGCGATTCAAACCGCGGTCACTCACACCTAATACACGCATACAAGGAAAGGGAACCTGGGTTTCCCTCACAGGTGTGGTCGGACTGACCTTGTTGCGAAGCGATTTCAAAACGAGTCTAACTCTGTCAATAATTACGCTCACTAAGTGTAGGGCCAGCATGCCCGTTGGTCGCCCAAAGTGCACCAGTGTTGGGCCAGCTGCCTCTCCGCCAAGAAATTGGCTCAGCACAAAATTATTACACGTATACTAAATTACTATATACATGTATGTATATATATATACATATATATATATACCTTTGTATATGAATGTGCGAGTAGTACTGAATCTGCAAGTACTACAGTATAAGCATCGCAAAACTTGCTCACATGTCCATTCCTTTTTCCACGCGGCCAGCTGTACACAAATGTTTGTTGGCTGTCACGCCACGCAGTCCTTGCAGGTTGGACTCCTCGAACAGACTGCAAAGTTCATCAAGAGCCTTTCGGAATCCGATGCCAACGATGAAAATGCGGTGTCCTGCGATGCTTGGTGAGCTGCGCCTTCCAGCTTTCCGTGGCGTCCAAACGTGTCGGCCAAACGCATTCGGAATGAGACAAAAGCAATGCTTGGCAGCCAAGGCTTGGCAGTGCCTTGCTGAAGCATTCCCGAGGCCGATAGCGATTGCAAGCGGCACACTTTGGCCCCTTGGCTGCACCAAATGAGAGAAAAGCAAGTCTTGGCCACACGAAGCGCCTCCTCGTTCGTCCCCTCGTTGTTTGTCTGTTGGCTCTGTTGAAGCCCTTCTTCGGAGCCTGTACTGTAAGTTGCAAAGCCGTCTCACTCAGACATGCAAAGATAAACGATGCAGCACAATTTTCACACCTGAATTCGACGAGCTGCTTGGGCTGCGTGGGCTGTGACTGTCATCTGCATGCAGCCTCACCTTCAAGCCGCACATCTGGCTTTCATGTTCAATGCATCACCAAGCTATCTGCATGGAATTCGTGCTCTCCATGTTCTCATGCTATCCCTTTCATGCATGAGATACTGCATGAATATATGAGCAAGCCACAAATGTGTGTCATGACAAGCGGCATACCATTCTGGCTCGTGACCTCGAGCTGGCCCTGAGTTGCAAGGAAGCTCACAAAGACAAGACGCACAATGTTCAAGAGAACAAATTGTAATTTGATTAAAAAATATATGCATTGTCTTCAAAACACGAAGTTAATAAAGTAGAAAGGACTGTGAAGACTGTAAAGACCTAAGTCCTCGCAGCCATGCAGGAAACTGTTACTTTTCAGATCCGCTCTTCACTAAATGTTGACTTCTCCCTGAGCCAATGACGCTTTTCCTTGAGTTTTGGCATGGGCTTTGTCCTAGGTGTTGACCGAGGGACCATGAGACCAATGACTCGACAAAACAAGAGGAGTCCTTCTCACCCAGTGAGTTCCACGTGCAGCCTGAACACATTCACGAATACGTTGACGAAACGTGAAGGGAAAACGATCAAGTAAAAACGATCAGCTTGTCTCCTTCACCTTTAATGAGGAAGGCCCCAAAGCTTCCAAAACATCTTCAGCATTAGCACCTGAAGTTAGGAATAGCAGGGCTCTGAGACAATGCATTTTATGCACCCCTTGGCACATGCAGTAAACTTTGAGTTGCTGAGCTCTGCACGATGCACATCTCGAACTCGCGGGCAAGACAAAATCCAACGAAGTTCCAGCCAGCTTGGCTCAGGAGCTTCACAGATCTTCTCTTGGAAAAACCTGGCGAAACATACCTGTTGGGGAAACTGAATCAAGCCGTCTACAATGACCATCATGGACCAACCAAAAGGAGATGTCAAGTACAAACAAACCCTTGCAAATCTTGTAATCCATGATGGGTGGGCCAGTCTTGTTTGAGATTCTTGTCCTCCCGGCACGGTGAAAAGAGACAGCTTTCAGTGGACTTGAGGACTGAATCGAACAAAACAAACGAGCTCAAACAGACTCTAGTTTCTGACGGTCCGAAAAATAGAACTCGATCTGCCGTCGAAGACCCCGCAAATACAGCGCTCGAGCACCACGCTTCTGGAAGGCCTTAATGGGACAAACGGCAGAAGTGAGGAAGTGCAGTGCAATTGCCAAAAACAAAACACAACTTGCGCACAGCCTTGCTGGGCAACACATGGAGACAGCATCGGTATCAGTCTCTTATGTTTGGCTCTGGCTAGCTTTTCTGAAGACGACCCTGGCACTGAACAGCATGGTACTTTGGTACTTTAGTGTGTGGCCGCAGTTTGGACCGACCGACTAGAACTCGCTGGGCTGGACAGCACAGATGACACCAACCACGAAAGCATGAAAGCCAAATGCACGGGATGCCCCGAGAGATAAGGATCCAAACAAAATGCATCGGCATGGGCTTGACCAGATGCAAACGTGTGTTAGATCCATGGCTGTGCAATTGTGTATCTTTATTTCATACACGATTAAAACTTCGAGCACAAAGATACACACAACGATGGCTATAGACTTAAACCTCCAGCATCACTTTCCGAAAGTATTCTGCATCCTAGCGGATCTAGATGTCCTCGATGTCCTAGCGGTCCTAGCCTTGTAGTGGAAAGACGGATGCCCGGAAGTAGTAGAGGCCGTCTCTCTCGAATACCCTTGAGTTTGCGGTCGCACATCTTCTGCAAGCGCCTGCCCACAAAGCACATGAATGCAGTTCAATTGGACGTCTGGGCCCTCCTCGCTGCGCTCCACAAGCTCTTGCAATTGTACCACAGCCTCGGCGTTTCATGAGTCACGGATTTTTGAAGCGTCCAGCATCGGCCTCGTCTAGGTCTCCATCATCCCTTGCACACCACATCACAAAGCCTTCTGCCTCTGGAGAAGTGTGCAAAAAAACCTTCCACTTGGAAGCCCTCGACACTTGGTTGACATCTTTTCTGGTTTTGCGGTTCCCACTCGCCTCCATTGGACTCTCCAACCTCTCTTGGAAGGCTGAAATGACCTGATTTTATTGCAGCCAACATCGAGAGTACATGTGTACATATTTGTACTACTTCATCAAGGAGTCACCTGCCTCCAAGCTTGAATTTTCGGCTGGCAGGGTGCAATGGCCGAATCTTTGAAGAACACGCTCGCCGCATTCTTCCTTGGGACTGAAACAGAAATTGAACGTGAGAAATGGTCAGCAACATGATGTGGATGTCATTCATGAAAAAAAATAAACAAAAACAACATCTCTAAACGGCAGCTGGTGCAGTTTCAATTTCCCGTGTCATTGCATCGCGATGCCTTTTCCCGCGTCACCACCATCCACTCCTTTGGAGTGTCGTCAGACTTGTCACTCAAGGACCTTTAGGGCAATTCCATACAAAGCCCGGTTGCTGTAACGGAGAACAACGCAGCGGGCTACATGCAGCACTGTGCCAACGCCATATCCAAGGCGCTCAGTGGCACAGCGTTCAGAAACGCAAGCGAGAAACCCCGCATGCTGGGTGAAATAGGAGCATGCACAAAATGCTTCATCATCCTACATGCGCCTATTTGGCATGCTTCAATTTGGCATGCTGGATGTTGCACCATTTCAGAAGAGCCTGGCAAGGTGTTCCCACTACAAAAGCAAGTGCGGAAGATCAGACGCGCCGGCTTAGACTTGATCAATCGTGGTTACTTGGATATTTTTTTGATTGGACTATATACTATTTTTCGCATGCGGCAAAATACTGTTCCAACTGATTCGCCTCGGAATGAGGGAGCGCTTCTTTGCGCCTCTCGATCGAACAAAGCGGGCAGCAAAGGAATTTTGAACATTGTTTTTGGTTTACCTTCCTTCTACCTTCCTTTTTGATTTGCAACAAAGTACCACAACGCGCCTGATTCCTTTGGGGGCCTGTCGTCTCTGTCTGGACGAGCCCTCAACATTGCGTTGTGTCGACACCACAACAATGTTGTACGGCTCTGCAACAAAAAAGAGCCGTACACAACAAGCCCCACACCCTGAAGGACCGGAGGGAGGCTGCGGTGCAGAGTCGTACTGCCTAAGCAAGACATCATGGATTGCCATAAGACCACCTAAAGGCACTTTGTATGTCGCTTTCATGCAATATGAACTAACAAGGATAGAAATAGGTAATATAATATATATGTATACTACGGTGTATATAGTATATAATATATGTATATATACATCGATAAGAGTTCTCTCTGCTTGGCCTTCTCCTCTGGCTTGGCCGTTTTTCACCCACCTGCTTCCATTTACCGATGCACTTCAGTGCAAATGCACCATACAGACTGTGGGACAATGGCGGTCTTGAGGTCAAAAGCCTAGCCAAGGCTATGATCCGCTCTTTGATCGATTGAAATCGTTTGGAAACCCATCACTTTGGAAGAAACCCAGCTCTCGTGAGCTTGGAGTCCTCGCAACCATGATGCTCCTCCTGCACGGAGGCTCAAGGATCCAAGCCGCCTGAGAAACCTTCAAGTAGGCTTGAAAGGCCAGCGCTTGCCTGCCAAGCTATGCGGCCTTCTGCAATCTGGGTGGTCTATGGAATGCTCCTTCCTCATAGCATGCGTCACCTCTCCAATCCTGGTGCAATGAATTTGGTACGATGCCCTTGCCCGCCCGTGGGCCGCCCTGGATTTGGGACCTTGCGTCTGCTCTGTCGCATCTGACCTTGTATTTCTTTCGTGGGCTTTCTCTGCTGGCTTGGACTCTGCTGCTTGTTCTCCCTTCTTTTGCTGGAGTGATGTCTGGGCTGTTCTCTGTTCGGCCTTCCGGCCAGATGCTGGCAGGTGGTGGCCACCCCAAAGGTTTCCGCAGCCGGCAGTAGTGGCCTTGGCAGGCAGGCAGCAAACTCTTCCGTGCTTACCAGGAGGCCCGCATGCTTATCTTTCTTGCGGGAATCTGGCTGCGTTTAATGGAAGAGTATCGCCATTTGAGCCTGCTCTTGGGTCAAAGTAAAAAGGGAACCGCGGGACAAGATGATGAGCCTCGCCCAATGAGCCCACTGACACACAGAGGGAGACCAGAGCAAATTCCATGAGTTTTTCAACATCCATTGCTCTGCAAAAGAGATGCAAGCTCCTGGAATAGAATGAAGTCAAGTAGGGCGATCTGCTGGCAGGAGCCTTGTTGGCCCAAAGTGAGTTGAAGGATACAGGCTCCTGCTCTGCGGACCACGGAGGCAACCCCCCAGGTGACCAGCACAGGCCTCTGCT